CACCCGAAAAGCCCAAACAACAAAACAGACCAGACAACAAAAAAAACAAACACTCTTACCGGATACTACGAGTTTAGACTATAGCGCACATGACTTGGATTGGGCCCCAACCCATCACTAGTATTTGAGAGTGACCACAAAATGCGGAAAATTATAACACTTTCGTTTCGGGTCCTTATATTCTTAGTATACCCCTACTCGTTGGTGGGAGCCTAAACCAACAAATGACTCAAGAAATGCCAGCCGTTGCCTTTGGGAAAGCCCAGGAAGAACACGTTCCTAAACTTCTTCGGCTCGCGTTGATGGCCTGAAACTGAGCTGCTGTTAAGGAACTTAAATTAAGTCACCAGAATATGGGTATGTAGCAAAGAATGGTGTTTCCTTATTATAGCAACCCTAATCCCTAAACCCTAAACCCTACTCCCTAACCCCTAAACCCTAATCCCTAAACCTAAGCCTTAATCCCTAAACCCTAAACCCTAATCCCTAAAGTCGTATATACCCCTTAGTTCAGCAACCCAGGAAAGATCCTCTTGGTCGCCTCGGCTTTCCTCGGCTTGCCTTGTCCTTGTCCCATGAAGCGGAGACCGGGGCAGGCTAAAAGTTCAGCTAGGTAGGGAAACGTAGGGTTTAGGGTTTTAGGGTTTAGGGCTTAGGGTAACCAGGTTATCACACAGATCCCCCCATAATTACTATAGTGCTACTACTATCAGTGCTATTAGTACTGCTTGTATTGTAGACAGCACTGCTCCTGTTGTGGAATATACCTTAGGTGGACCCCCCACCCAGTAATAGTGACTATAAGGGACCATAAGGGATAATGGTAATATATGAGGGTCCTCTTATAGTCCTATTATACCACTATTACAGGGCTGGGGGTCCTCCTGAGATGTACCTACCTAGGCCTTCAGGCTTCTGGTTCACCCTAGCAACAAGACGTTGGCGCTCAGAGTGGCCCAACCGCGAATCTCTTTCTTCCCCGAGTCTTGCATGCAACGGTAGAAATGCTGGATGTGAAAAAGGCTGCAGGAGCCCGCACAGTTCTCTTAGGAGAGATGGTAGTTTCCAAAAGGAGGGGGACCCCAGTATAGACCCTAAAGGAACCTTCACCAAGCTGTGGGAAGCCTTGATCTCCTTAAACCAGTATATCCCATTACCCAAAACCTACATAATCCTTCTAGAATCCGTATATAATCCTTACATACCTTTGTTCAACCCTATTTCCCTAGAGCAGGACTTTCTGTTGGGCAGGCGACCACCAGTCTTTAGGGTTTAGGGTTTAGGCTTGGGCAAAGAACAGATGAGGCTCTGTCCCATCACGGGCCAGTTCTTCGTGAAACCCATGGTTCTCCATGGATCTGCCAAGGCCTCAGTATGAACCTAGTCAAAGGCAAGTGCAGGAGGAGAGTTATCATGTAGAGAACTTCTATTACAAGCTTTATATATCCCTTGTATAGGTCTTTACGCACACCCCTCATATACCCTTCATACAAACTCCCCGGGTCGTAACATAATTGGGTAGTATCTTATTTGGGGATACTATGGTACCCATCATAGACACGATTATGTCCTCCCTTTGGGGTACGTATAATATTTTATATTAGGAATACAAGCTTACTTGGTTTAACCAAGAAAAAACGCCACTCAATTGAAGGGTTTAGGGCTTAGGGTGTAAGCCCTTGTCTGAACCCCTTTCTATTTCACTTTCAACTTTAATTTCCATTTAGTTCTGAATTAGTCGGGTAATATCCTAAATCCTAGAAAATTCTCGTATAGCCCCTATGGAATCCCTATATAATCCCTATAGAATCGACAAAAAACTTCTATACAATCCCTGATCGTCATGTGCTCAAGCCACCCCACTTCGGAACTCGGCGTGCTTCAGAACTTGTCTGGGTTGCTGTTGGGGAACTGTACGTGGGGGTTTCCAGAAACTCGGCATGTTTAGGGTTAGGATTTAGGGTAGCAGGGACTGGTGTATTGGTCTGTATTGGGGTCCTCGTATGTAGGGAAGCTACCAATGAAGCTGCTACCATCAGGGCACCATTTTGCTACTACCCTACTACATGTACATCATAATTCCTTGAAAGCCCCTGTCCAAACCCAGTTCGCTGTCATTGTCATTCTTTTTTGCATCTTCTTCTCCACTATTGGGGCAATATCCCTAATCCGTATATCATCCTCATCTAACTCTTGTATAATCCCTTCAAATCCCTATACATATAATCGTATGGCAGTCTAAGTTGATGCACAGCAGGGCAAACTGCCCTTTCCAATGTAGGGAACATGTAGAGATGAGAAAGGGCTTACATAAAGATCGTACTTGGAGGGTCAGGGGACTTAGTAAGTAGGTTAATAAGGGGGATAATTAGGGTTACTATGTGGGTTTTTGGGGTTATTAACCTACTTACTAAGTCCCCCTGACCCTCCAAGTATAGGGTCTAGGGATATCACCCCCTGGGTTATATTAAGGATCAGACAGGGTTTAGAGAAGTTACCGCATGTGTTTTGTAAGGTTCATATAAGGTTTAGGGATATTGTCCACATAATGTCGAGGCACATGGAAAAGAAACCCTAAAGCCCTAAACCCTAAACCCTAAACCCTAAATGGAAACTGGGTACTGAGGTTTTCGAGCAGAGTGCAGCTACGCGATGGGTTGCCAGCACAGGCTGGGAAGCCCATGGGGAGATACCAACACCTAAATCATGATCATACCCTCAACCCTAAACCCTCAACCCTAAACCCTAAACCCTCAACCCCAAACCCTCAACCCCAAACCCTCAACCCTAAACCCTCAACCCCAAACCCCAAACCCTAAACCCCAGTTCCTGGGAGGCCGCCATCCAATCCTGCCTCTCGCTTGCACCGAGTTGCTTCTGCCCTAAACTCTAAGCCCTAAAGTGTTGGCTGGGTCTAGGATTTAGGGTTTAGGGTATAGGGTTTTGGGTTTACGGTTTTGGGTTTATGGTTCAGGGTTTAGGATTTAGGATTTAGGGTTCAGAGTAGCAGTCAGTGTGTTTGCAGACAGTCGGATAGCCTTGGGTGCATTTCCATGGGACTTCTGAGGATGTTGTTGCAAAGATTATTACTTCTACTCCAACTTTGGTTCCCAATCCCACTCCTGCATCTATCCTTACCCAAATTCCTACTCTTAATCATACCCTGACTATTACATGTACAATTTCCACCACCGCCACCACCGCCACCACCGCCACCACCGCCACCACTGCCACCACCGCCGCCACCGCCGCCACCGCCGCCACCGCCGCCGCCTCCACCACCACAACCATCGCAACCACCACTGCCGCCGCCACCGCCGCCACCATTATTGCCCTAAACCCTAAACCCTAAACCCTAGACCCCGAACCGTAAACCCTAAACCCTTGAACAGGCGTGGGATAAGCTGCCGCCTGGACGAGATGAGTCCTGCAAAAGATGTGGAGGCATGACCGCATGACGTTGGGCTAGGTAGGGGAAATCCAAATTATATCCAGGCAATATCCTGTAGTTCCTGTAGTCCCTTAGAATTATAGTCCCCCTTAAATAGATAGAATATGGGGTATATGGGGATCTTATTATAATCTACCCAAAGCTATATTCTATCTACTTAAGGGGGACTATATTGTTAGGGATACCACTTGTCTGCCGGGTGACGGCTTTTGATTCGGCTTGCGATTGATCCGAGAGGCTTTGTGCCACCGGCTTGCTGCTTCAAAAGGGTGGGCCACGGCGCTTAGAGCTCTCTGCCTTCTAGCCTATTAGGGGTTTCCCAAATATGGGGTACCTTTTTTGGGGGTCCCTATAATAAGGATTTTGGTGTCTATATTGGCTTCATGATTCTAATATTTGTAGTTAAGGCCCCTAAGTGTGCTGACATGGTTGTTTTCTTTGGTCATACGTAGGGTTGCTATTGCATGGCCAGCTGCTGGTGCAGGGCAGCTGGCAGAGTTACCATACCAAGGTGCTTCAGCAGTCTTCAACATGAAGTGAGTGAACTTCAGCACAAAGTAGGCAGCTGCTGCTAGTCGTCTTGATTTCAGTGCACACCAAAAACTGGTGGGATCTGAGTCGACCCTTCTTACCAGCGACAGAGGAGAGGGTCAGAGCAGCAGGAAAGGTTGCTTGCAAGCTTGATTCTGAAGATTTGGGGTTGGCATGTTGTCCGTTGTTGTTTCTGCATTCCACGCTACCGCTCCTGATTTTGTGGCTTAGTTTTGAAAACCCACTGCTGCATGGAAACTTGATCTGCGCACCCTGACTCTGAACAAATGCCTAGCAATACCCTCTTGAACACTTGCCTCCACAGTCAACATCCAGCATCTTCCCGACGTTAGCCTCAAGCAAAGCTTATTACGCTTCAGCAACTTACTCCAGTGTCAGCCATGAGACCTCGACATACGGCACCTGAGGTTGCGAAGGCCTCAGAACAGATCCCAAGGCTCTGTGGCAGGTTAGTACTAGTATCACTACTATTATTCTTGTTACTATTAACGTTGCAATTACATTATCATTTTTTTTATCACAGTTAGTGTTATTGCTACTGTGATTATTACTGAGCAGCAACTTGCGAGATCTCTTAGGTTCCATCCGATATTGAAGGCGCCCTGGCCAGCAGACTGGGAGTGTGTCAGGGGAGCGCACAGCCTTGCCTGTCTTTTCATCACCCAGGGGGTGGCAACAGCTATGGGAAGACAATTTCCATGGCAGGCCCTGGAGGAAGCAAAGCCTTACACTCCCATACTGTTTCTCTAAGGTGTTTATGATATGCTTATAATACCCCTATGGCATCCTCATAATATCCGTATAAAATCCGTATGAGGCCCTCATTGGGAAGGATCCGTGAAGACGTTGATGGCAGGTTCTGGCGGACGACCAATCATTCAGCCCTTCGAGGCACCTAGGGTACTGGCCGCCAGGTGTTTTGTAGCCAATCCTAAGCCCTAAACCCTACACCCTAAACCCCAAGCCCAATGTCCACTGTGTGGAAGGGCCATGGAAGCGACGGCAAATCCAAGGGCAGAAGGCTGGGTCCTCATCCCCTCCCTCACTAAGGACCCCGCACCCCATGGAACCACATACTACCAAACATGGGTCTAGGGCTTAGGGTGTAGGGTACCAAAAATGAGCTGTAGTCTAATCTCCTTAAAGGGGGTTTATATAGGGGACTGTATAGGGGACTACTGTAGGGGTCATTACGGGGGATACAAGGAGTTTAGATTGTGGTACAAATGATAAATAACTCTAGCGCAGAACTGTTTTTTTTTGGGTGGCATTTTTTGTTGTTACCGGGTGCCCAGGCACTTGTTTTTCGGGGGTTGTGACTTCATCTGGTTTACCGGGAATCGGGGAACAAAGGCAGCCTTTATTTGCCATACCCACTGTGATCCTGCAAAGATGGGTACCCTAAACCCTGAACCCTAAACCCCGAACCCTAAACCCTAAATCCTAAACCCTAAACCCTTGGGTGCCTTGACTTGCAGGGGAATGACTGCTGACAAAGAATTTCTGCAGAAGGTGGGCTGCAAATTCCACAATTCCTCCATCTGGGTTTCCTCAAAGTTACAGGCGTTTAGGGTTTGAGATTTAGGGTTTAGGGTGTTTGGGGGCCTGTAGTCAAGACCATATTCTTACTTTGTTTGTGCGAAGGCGGGCCGCAATGTTGAAAGTAACCTAAAAAAGGTTCTTTGGGGGTTTAGGGTTATATAGAAGTTATAAGCTCCCAAACCCAAGCCTTAATCCCTAAACCCAAAATCCTCAACCCTAAGCCCTAAAGCCCTAAATCCTAAAGTCCTAAATCCTCAACCGTAAACCCTAACCCCGACACGGGCTGTCAGTTGGGCTGTTTTTCAAGGTGGAGACGGCTACTGCGTCCACACAGACGAACTCTTGAGTGTTGGTTTTGCTGCGCACTTTAGATAGCCAGTGCCACAGGCTGATGTAAAAGTCTTCTGGCTGCAAGAAAAACCCCAAACCCTAAAATCCTAAATCCTGAACTCTAAACCCTAAAGCCCTAAATCCTAACATCCTAAATGAACCCTAAAGCCCTAAATCCTAATATCCTAAATCCCAAACCCTAAAAAGGTGGGACTTGGGGTCGCCGGAGTTTGGCTTCTTGGCTGGCTTCTCATGGGGCTCGGAGCTGAGCATCTGCTGTAGCATTAAGTTTCGAGGGTTTAGGGGTTTAGGGTACAGAGTTTAAGGATCGGTATATAAGGACTATTCTGCGGGTCTATAGGGTTTATCTGGGGATTACATCGAGCTAGCTGATTCAAGAATATGGTAGCTGTTCAAGATAATCTGGGGGCAGCAGGGGGTATATGGCGATGATAAGGAGAGTATGTGCGTCTTTGCTTGGGATTACGTGAGTAGCTTTTTTTTGGTAGTCTTCAAAACAGCTGTCCGCGAAATGATCATCAGCTACTTGTCCCTTCTTGATTAGGATCCCTTTTCAACAAGTGTAGTATTGTTGGTCTCTTCTTAATCAGGATCCGCAGAACCACCGCGATATGTTCAGGTTCAGGGTTCAGGGCTTGTAGTTGGGTCTAGGGTTCAGGGTTTAGCGTCTAGGGATTGGATTTAGCGGTATCGGTTTCTGGATTGGGGTAGGGTTTTAGGCTTAGGGAATATTCCCTACTCCATGTAAGGGATCCTAGTATCGCTCAGGGTTTGTTTAGCCCTGGGAAGGCTTCAATTTTACTTGAGTGGAACTCCATCACAACCACCTTCTGGGCGGAAGGGTGTGCTTTTTCTTGGCAGAAGGGAAGCAAGTTCAGATACTTGAATTGTTCACGGGTAGCTTTCAGTGCTGGTTAAACGTAGACTATGGGTCTAATCCTTGAATCCTGCTAGATGCAATGACCCACTTAGAACTACTTCAAGCCGCCCACATAAACCCCAAACCCTATAAACCCCTAAACCCTAAACCTGCTTAGTCTTTCTAGTAGGCTTTCCTGACAGTCAAGCAGGTGGGATGTGCTGTGGCCGCTTTACCTGGTGGCTTGGCTCAGTGGATGGCTGTGTACAATGATGTCAATGTTGCCCTAAAACCTGAACCCTCAATAAGGATCCAAACAATCCCTTGCAATTCTGCATCTACATAAATGAATTCTCACAAATAAGTATATATACTCATATAGTTATATACATATCCCATAGGTCTAAGAGGACCCTGTGTTGGCGTCCTGCCGCCAAGGTCTACGACTTGCTCCTCTATATCTTGTCAGAGACTTACATTCCAGGATTGGAAAAGCTCAAAGTGTAACCCGGTCATATCCCCTAAAATGATCGGTATTTATTTTTGCTATTGTGTTATTGTTACTCTTAGTGTTATTATCATTGCTGTTGTTATTGTCATTATCATAGACAACACTCGTGGTTCGTAATATGCCTGCCTAGCTTACACTTATTTGGATGAGTGCTTTTTCGCCGCTCACCCAGCAGCATGACTGTAGCATGAGCCCACCTGCAAATCTTGGTGTAGCCAAGGTCCTTCCCTCCATTCTCTTGGTTTTCCTGGATGTTTGGTGGCTGGTGTGGCTGCCAAGAGAAAGGGTACCTGGAGTTTCATGGGATTGGTAGCTACTTCTAGCTGGGTTTATAACCCTACTTGGAATAGAAGCCTACATAAAGCCATCTGGGGGATTGTAAGCAGGAAAAAAAGCCTAGAGCCCAGTTGTAAGTGGTGATGAAGGAGCCAGGAACCTTCAAGTAGCAAGGTAACGAGGCCAAAGCCCTAAACCCTAAATCCTAGGCCCTAAAACCCAAACCCATGCCATGCTGAATGCAGGATTTCGCGAGGGGCACCAGTGCTGAACCATGGGCAGCCCATAGAGGACGGCACCTGCATCCCGCACTCCACCCACTCCTGCTTTTAGGTTTTAGGGTTTAGGGGCTAGGGTTTAGGATAATATTTGTACCATTCATCTTGGTATTAATATTATTACTACTGTTGTTTTACAAGTATCTTTTACCTATTAACCAAGTTTCCAGTTTGATTCCATCTTCTGGTCCATTGGATTCCCCGTTGTCACAATGATTTTTGCTATTCTTATATTATTCTTATTCCGGTGATTACTACTAGTGTCATTATTTCGTGCACAAACGCGCCACTTGCGAGCTTGCCCCTAAACCCTAAACCCCACGCCCTAAGCCCTAAATCCTAAAC